CGACAATCTGAAATTGAGACGAAATGTCTTGGAGTATCAAGTTTGCGATTTTTGTAAAACATAAATAAGTCAAGCCAAAATAATATTTTCTAATAAAATTATTTTATAATTGTATCTTGAAGTTGAACAAAAACTAGGAATTTAAAAAAAGTGAACAATTTTTAAACAACAACCGAAATTATGAGAAAGAAAATATTTTTTGCCTTTTCCAACAGGTGACACTTTGGAAGTGTTTCACATAAAACGTTCGACTTGTAATTTTTCTAAAGCGCAGTTTCGTTCATTTTAGGATTTGAACTACCACATATACATATTTCTAAAAAATCAAAGGACGTCACGCCGACCCCGACAAGTTTAGTCTAATTCAAAGAAAATCAGTTATTTACATATTTCTTGATTTGTTTATAGTTCCAGTATTTTATATACCTAAACGCCAAGGCACGAGGTACATACAACAGAAAATAGACGAAACAGATCTTAACAGTGCAATGCAGGCAACTACTCGACTGCGAAATGCTTAGGTAGCTCGTCGTTAAAAAGGGTTAGTGCTACTGAACTGATAACACTTTTAGCTGGTTTGTTCCATTCGGTTATTGCGTTAGGGAAGAAGGATGCCTTAAGCAAAGAAGTTCTACACAATGGTTATATGATGGTTAGATCGTGTTTTTTTTTTTGTTTTGTTTTGTTTTTTTGAAAGCGTAGCTTCGTTCATTGCCGAGTAATGATTCGATCATTACAAAAAGAATAGAGTTGTCATGACTGCAAATGTACTGTCGATCATTTTACCAATTCAAGGACGGCGGCATATTGAACTGCAAAGACGCACTTCAAATAAGTCGTCCATTTTATACAAGCGCTCTCTTACCGGAGTTGAGAATATCATATGATTAGTCCCGGGTCGCCCTTTATCCATGCAGCTACTCCTTTGTCCTTGGCAGTGATAGAATAAGACAGATCCCCCCCATCTTCCCCCCTCCCCACTTCCACAACCTCAGTGAAACAAACTTGTCAGCGAGAAAGGAAACAATATTGCCTATCTTGCTTACAAGTTTGTTTTACTGAAATAAATGCCACATCCGTCCACTGTGGTATTTCTTCTTCTGACTAAACGTAGGTGGACGTCAGCTTATTCAGACAATTCGTCATTCCTTTTTATCTTTTGGTATAGATAACATCATTTTATCAAAATTTCGTATCTTCTTCACTTAACCATCGTCATATTCTGGCTGAGATTCAGCTTACTGCAATGCCTAGTTTACTTATGCGGGATAGTAAACCGCGTTTCGGTTGTCGAACACGGCGTATCAAACACTGGATTAATCCGAAATAGGCAGATGAATGAACCGTACTGATCGAACGAAACAACTGCTGCGAAGCCGCCGAAGGGCAATATCTAAGGTGGCGTCGGGATTCGAACTCCGGTATTCCTAATTACCGTTCAGATATGGTAAACAGACAAGATTATACAGGGTGTTTATTCTCATACATTACAAATCGGTTTAAAAAAATAGAGTGAAAGATATACTAATGCGCTAAGTGTAGTGGGGACATAGCCTAGGGAGCTAATCGAATAATTACGTAAATATGTTAATTTACATCTCGTTTAAATGAGGAACTTGCCGTATTCGAAAACAACTTGATCAGTGATATTTAGAAGAACTGAGCATGTGGGAAGTGCAGTTGTGCGCTAAAGTTGCCACTCGCGCCACGGGCGCAAGGCTGGGGTTAGAAAACGCGGATGATAAAAGACGGAAAAAACGCGCGGGCGCGTTATCGTACCGGTAGCCTTGCTCCCGATGCACGAAGGGTAATTTTAGATCTCCAACGTGCTTCCAACGTGCTCCATGTCTTTCTAATATTGGTTGATTTAGTGATTTTGATGACGTTCATCAAGTTTCTAATTATAACCGTATGTTAATTTTCAAAAATGAAAACGTTGATTAACATATTCTATTTAATTAGCCCACCGATCGTTACGGCCAGTGGTCACGAAACCGCGTTAGTGTACCTTTCACATGAAAAAAAAAGTTTCAAGTTAAAAAAAGACAAGGCCTGTATATTCTCGAAGCCTTTATCAGGCAGCGCGAAGTCAGGCTGGAAGCGTCACCGTCATATTAGGAAACGAAAGGCAAGATCAATTGAGCAATGGGCTATGAATGCAAAACTATCCGTGCGAGTGGTCAATATGCTAGGTCTAACTTTGTACGATTGATTTTCCACGTGCTGTCTTGGGACGTGCAGTATCAGGTGCATGTATGCGACATATTTTAAGTGCCACCATTACGCGTCGCCTCAATCTCAAAGAAACACAAATATTGACTTCTAGATTTTCCATGAGCGAAATTCATCCTCTCTTTGGGAAACTTCTGCCAGCTAGCCTGCTTGCGAACACATCGTGGCTTAGTAAAATGTTGTAATGCATTAACGTTAGAAGGCTCGTTTTGACGAAAACCCGGCAATGTGTCTCGTTTGCCAGCGCCAGGAAGAGGGGAAGAAGGAAGGGCAGAGGGTAATGCGTGCGACGCTCCCATTGGTCCAAAGCGCTGACGTAGGCACGCGTCAACCTCTCCCTTTTTTTCCGGCGCTGACAAACTTATAGACACCGCCGGGTTTTCGTGAAAACGAGCCCTTTCGCTTTCGTCAAGTCACGCACACAGCTGGCGCGGAGCCAGGCAGGAGGCGCGGAACATCTCCTAGATGATAAAGCCGTAGTGATGAATGAGATAGCGTCATCAGAGAAGACCAACGCTGAACACAGATTGGAAACGAGTGCTGCGTCAACACTCTGCTTCGAGTAAAGTTTGAGTCAAACGTTGATGCAATCGTTTTGTCTAATCTTTGCGCAGCGTTGGCCTTTGCTGATGACGCCATCTCAGTCAGCACTGCAGCTTTGTTTTCTAGTAGGTGTTGCGCCACGGCGCGGTGGAATGCGGGCGTGCTCAGTTGTCCCTCTGCCGTCGCCGATTGTTCTTCGCTCTGGGTCCCCGTAGTAGCGGTGCGTGGGGTATGATGTGTGTGTACACTTAAAACGATGGATGCGGTTCCCTCCACGAGTGATATGGATGCGGTTACCTCCACGAGTGGTATAGATGTGGTTCTTTCTACGAGGAATATGGAGGACCGCATTCAAGGGTTTTGACGTAATCTGACAGGCAGAGTACAAAAAAAAAAGGGTTAAAAAAAGTTACAGGAAGATTCATTGGTGGATTTTAAGGAATCCGTTTGCATAACCCTTGGGAAGCGCCGCACATGTCCCCCTTTGAAAACGCTTACACCGACCCCGTAACGAGACCAAAAAAGACAGCAAAAATAGAGGAAGCAAAAAAAAAAAGTAAAAGCTAGAGAGAAATTTTAACGGGAAAAGTTAAGGGGTGAGAGTTAGCGTTTCCCGAAGGGGGACGTTAGTGGCGTTTCCAAGGGTCAAGCAAACTCATTCTCTAAGAATCCACCAATAAATCTTCCTGTCATTTTCGTTACCTGCTTAAGAGCAAGAAATCTTAAGGGGAGGCGACTAAACTTGGGTTTCAGCCAAGTCTTAAGACGTATTAACATAAAAAAACAACTGCAACATGTTTTCGGTCGAGGTTGACGTTAAACGCACCACTTATTTTGTTATTCTCCAACGGTGTTCTTGAAGGTCCCGGAAATTGTTCCTGTAATACTCCGTAACAGTGTGGAAGCCATTTGATAAACATTTAGATGAAGATGGTGTTAATCAATTTATAAGTGTATGAAAACTCGACAATGTCGTTGAAGCAAAAAATGACAGACGTTTACAACTCTCTGTAATGCCGAATCAGGGCGCAGCTCTTGAGTAGAAGGAGGAGAAAGTACGGAGGGGAGGGTATGCTCCTTCTCCCCTTCCGCAACCTCCACTCCTCCTTGCTCGCTGCCCTCCCATTTAGCGGGAAATCTTCGCTAAACTTAGAGACAAAGGTTTTTTGTTAAATTTAGTAGAAAACTTTCCGGCAAACTTTATCGGTAACAGTTCCCCGCTAAATTGAGCGGAAAAAGTTTTCCGCTAGACCTACCGGGAAAAGTTTCCCGCCAAATCTAGCGGGTAAATGTTCCCATAATCCAACATGCGGTTACGCCCGCTTGCATTATTCCCATGACGCTACGCGCGCGGTTATGCCGACGCCGATGGCGACGCCGCTCAAGAAGGAAACGACCGCCTAAAAGGTGCACTCTAAACGAAAAAAAAAAAAAAAAATTATTTCTACATGTTACGCTGAAATATAAAGGACCTTCACATCAGGCGCTGAAGCTAGTTTGAACGATGCCCAGTAATACCGAACTGGGACCACGCAGAGCTTCAAATCTCCTATTGTCAGATTAATTTGACTGCACGCCCTTAGCAATATTTATGTAAAAGAGAGTCTACCGATGAAATATATATACACATAAACCAAATCAGTCGAAGAAATGTATGAAACATTATATTCAGTTTAATTACATCGAATAGAAACATTGGCGCTTTACGTTAATTTGCCGAGTCACTAAGGCATATGACCAACGGCCCAGAGTCTCAATGAGTGAGACATATAACCTTAACATAATAAATGCAGTCCGTATGATTGTAGGTATAGCTACAGAACGTGACAGGGCTAGAAAAAGCAAGCAATTGTCAGGTTTTTTTTTCTTTTGCAACTGTAAGATTGTCATCAACGTACACTGTCCGTGTTGTGCAATTTTATTATTTTGGCAAAAGACCTTAGGCGATTAAATTTGGTGCTCGCAATTAGGGGCAACTCCACTTGTACAAACAGCGAAAAGGCGCATATGTCGTGTTTGCACTAACTCTGTTGCGCAGTGTACGTGAGAAGTAAGCAAATAAGATATTTATGTCTTTTCCTTTCTTTTTTGTGTCATAAATTCTTGCCTTTAATATTCTTGGACAAGCTTCGCATCGACTGTTTCTTATGGATAAGCGTACCTGGTGACGTAGAGATGAAAACTAACATTAGTCGGCGAGGTTAAAACAAAAATTTCTTGCGCAGGTGAGCTTCTTCTCAACGAGTCCCGAGCTGAGCAACAAGCAGCGCTTCGAGTACTTCCTGCGCACTGTACCGTCGGACACGAACCAAGCGCACGCCATGGTGGAAATCGTCAAGCTGCTCAAGTGGACCTACGTGTCCATCTTGTACGAGGAGTCCAATTATGGCCTCAAGGTGAGGACCTGCACCATATGCCACTCTCGAAACACGCAGAACTGGAGAGCTCTATTCCTTTCATCCCCTGGGGGAGGGGGGGGGGGGGTATGTCGTGGAGGTGAGGGAGGTGTTGTTCTTGCAGGGGTTGCAAACTGTTTCTACTAAAAAGGGAATAAAGAAATTACAAGAGAGTAAAAAGAAGAAACAGGAGGACGAAAAGTGTAAAAGAAATGGCAGTTAGGATGATTGTGACCAATGTATAGAACACGAGCACAGATACACACACACAGATGCGCCTGCTTGACTCGAATGCGGCAGGGTCTTCTGCTCATAGCAGGACACATAACCGGGAAGGACCGTTACAGTCTGTCGGATAGGCCGGTAGAGGTCAGGAAGTGGAGTAGTCGGTCAAATTTACGGCGTCGGCGTACACATCCAGTAGGAAATATATTATCTGCTGTTTACGGCGCTGTGATATCCTCACAATCTTCACAATGAAGCAGCAGATGCTGAATCGTTTCTTCTTCATTGCACGTTGTACACAATGGGCTGTCCGCCACACCAATTTTATGTAGAAAATATTTAGTAAATGCACTATTGGTGCGTAAACGCATTAGAAGGGTGTTTGCACGAGGAAATCCCTTGGTGATGCAGGGCTGGTTTGCCGTTCGGCTAGTAGGAGCGAGGTCTTCGATGTGTGCCTTCACCAGGCAAAGCGAGTCCTTAAAATTAACAGGACTTTGTATTGATGTGACTTGATTATGTGCATCTCCCACTAGTTGGTCAGCTTCGGTGTTCCCTGGAACTCCAACATGTGAAGGTACTTATTGAAACCGCACTCGGAGGTTTTTTCCTGAGTGGGGTTTTAGTAGATTTAAAAATTTTCTAACTTGTTAGTCACGTAATCCTGGTGACGCAAGCCTTCTGAGGGATGTGCTGGAATCGGTTCTAACAACAGCTAGTTATTTATTCCAGTCTGCGTTGGTTTCAGGAAGTATAGACAGAACACTCTTGATGGCCTCTATTTCAGCGGATGTTGACGACACCAATTTATCAGATCGACCACTCAATTCAATTTTCATGGCTAGGATGACAAAACCGGCTGTTGCGCTTTGTTGGGCTTGGTGCAGTGAGGCGTCGGTGTAAAGTCGAAGAGCTCTTGTGCACCGCAGATCGAGAGATTGTTCAGCGATTCTTCGAAAAACGATGTTTGTGGTGTCCTTTTTTTTTTCGAATGCCTGGTAGATAAATCTTCCTGATACTCAAACGGGTACTGGCGCCAGGGGGAATTTTTCATGTATTCTGGTAGTTTCGTGCTACGAAGAGATGAGCCTAAAGTAATAGCGGCGAGATGTTTGTGGCGCCCTCCTATGGTTCCCTTTCGTGACGTCATTACCTTGCAAAGAACAAGCTCGATGGTGTTTGTAACTTGCATGGTGGAAGCTTGAAATCATTGCGCTCTCAAAGCGGCACTGCCAACACCGTCAAAATTAAAGTTCTCGTATTCTTCTTATTTCCGCCGATAAGAAATCCTTTGCTGACATCATAGTCAAAATTCGGCCGATCGTGGAAAGCCGACCACAGCGACGCTTTCGATCGCGGACGTCGCCAATAATGTTCGTAAAAGGTGGTTGTATCTAAACTCAATTCTCGCTTCTGAGCGAGGTAAAAGGGCAGTTCCTGTTTTTTTACTTATGCCGTCGTATGAACTGTTGCATAAGGGTTTTTGTAATACGGAGAAGTAGAGGCAAAGTATTGCCCTCGGCGTCGGAGATGGAAGTAATGAAATTACTGTAATTGAATTACAGTAATTAAATTACTTTTTAGAGTAATATGTAATGTATCTCATGACCTTTTGATGCAGGTAATTTAGTAATGTACTCAATTTTCTTAGTGGCGGTAATTGTAATTAAAATCGTAATTACTTCTTGGATATTTCAGTCATGTTTATTTGATTTGCCCGGTAATGAACAAAAACAAATCAGTTCTTGCATTTGCCAAAAAAAAAAAAGCGTCTCTAAAAAAAATTACGCAAAAGAGACGACAAATGTGGTTTTCGTTTGTGGCCGCTGACTCGTGTGACGGTCGGACTGGGTGCCTTTATGTGGGCGTTGCTTGAAGGCACTCTCGGTCGGACTAGAGGCAGTGTTGGGTAAAGTACATCTAAAAAGTACTTCAAGTAAAGTACAAAGTAAATGATATGTGATGTACTTCAAGTAATGTAGTAAGTACACTGGGTGCAATGTACTTGAAGTAAAGTACGATAAATACAATGTACTTTCAAAGTAAAGTACAAGCATTTTAACACAATCTTTCATGATGCTCATTCATTCTCCTATACAGTGATTTTTAAATGGTATACGTTCCCAGAGGTAATTAGGGGTGCATTACCCATTTTCAAAAAAAGAACCGAATATTCAATAAAGTTAAGTGGCCACAAAATAGTTATTTTCAGGAATGTAGCCAAATTCAGAAGTCCCTCTTCTGAACTTGGCGCGCTTGCACTGGGTTGTTGCACCCAAAGGGGTTAAATTTACTAGCAGAGAGCATGACGTCAGCCTCGTAGCTTCAGTAAACAATTTTCTCATAAAAGAATGTCCGCTCCTCAAAAAAAAAACAAAAAAAAACAGTGAGTGTGCAAGCGACCTGGTGATAATTAATCATAACGTGACTCCTGAGATTGGGGTGCGAAAAAATTAAGAAACTTTCAAGTCGAACGAAAAGACAAAAGAGAATGTCTCAAAACATTGCGATGTATGTTCCCCTCTGCTGTCTTTTTCTTCGACTTGAAAGTTTAATTTTTCCGCACCACAGTCTCAGGTTATACATTTTAATTAAAATTACTCTCCTAATATTTTAGACCTCCTTGCTCGCACTGACCGTCCAAAAAGTAGCGAGAGCTCAAAAAGCTACGGGAAAGCCGCCCCCAGAACAAACGGAGCGATGCTTCGTCTGCTCACGTTTCTGGATAGAGTAGAATATCCCTCCAGGTATTTGTTCGGAGTTGACAAAGCATCATTTCATGATACAAATTTAACAACACCAAATTTGAAGAATGTACTTTGAAGTCGGGAATTGTACCTTCCTCGGAAAGTACCGGAAAAGAATACTTTAAGTAAAGTACAAGTACATACCCAGAGAATGTACTTCAAGTAAAGTACAAGTTTCCCAAATCTACTTGAAGTCTGTTTGAAGTAGTACTCCAAGTACAATGTATTTAAAGTGCTCCCCAGCACTGACTAGAGGGTCGTGCCACCTAAATCTTCTTGGGTTTTTTGTTGCTGTGACCAAGAATAGGCTTTCCCAAACATGGCTTTTTTCCCCGCTGAAGATTATCTTGCCCCAAAGTTCGCACAAAGAAGACACAACCCACAAGAATAATCAATAAGAAGGTAATCCTAACTCAGACGCATCCGGGAATCGACAAAGTGCGCAGTAGGTATTTCAGAAAAACGTGAACCCACAACACAGACAGACGCAAGGTCAGTCGGTTCGGTTTGGGAAGGCGTGTTGGTTCGCCTTACCTGTCTGGTTTTGCACCTTGGCTTGGTGTAGGGTTCACAGTTGGGGCGGCGCAGAAAAGCTCACCGGAGAAAAGCTCACCGCAGAAAAGCTCTGCGCAAAACCGGCTGATACGGAGATAAGCTTCGCATCCACGCTTTTCTCCGGTGATCTTTTCTTTGGGATTCGATGGTTGTGACTTCGCAAATGCAGAGCAGAGTGCGTTCTTTCTTTTTGTTTAATTCCTTCTTTAAAATACATGAAACGGTAATTTGAAAGTAATTTCATTGCTTTTATGCGGTAATTTGTAGTTGTAATTCGTTACTTTCATGTAGTGGTAACTTGTAAAGTAATTTAATTACATTTCAGTCATTTCGAGAAAAAGTAATTAGTAATGTAATTTAATTACAATAAATGAGTAATTTGGTCACCTCTGCTCGGCGTACACTTTTACTTTTTATGCTGCTCGAGGGACGCCCAGTGCCTTACTGATGTCTTATCGTTAAATGCGTTCAAGACGTAACATTTGGGTATTCGAAAGTCGAGTGTATGAAATCGAGTACCGCGTACGTCCCATCACAACAGTTTCATGTAAACGTAGAATTGAAGATGGTGAAATTCTCCCATGGATGACCGCCGATGTGACAGACTGCGCTTGTAAATTTACTTAACATTGTGGCAATGGCATCTTCTTGTGGTTTTCCTTGAAGCCTCGCGTCGAGAGTTGCTCCCAGAAAACGATATGTCCTGACCCGACGAATATTTGTAGTATTTAAATATATATCAATATCCGGGTATGATCGCTTTCGAACACGTGCAAAAAACACGTAGGCTGTCTTTCTTACCGAAACTTGAAATCCGACTGTAGCCAGATACAGTTGAACAGACGTCATGGCTGGTTGCAATGATGGATGAAGCACATCGCGTCTCAACTGGCCGGCGTATAGGAAGACATCATCCGCGTAGATGGAAACGTTGATTGCTAGCGGTCCACGTGTTATTGCTTTTGGCAGTTAAGCCATGGCGTGAATAGTACAGGGCGTATTGTTTAATTGGCCAGAAAGGTCTAAATGCAGCCCGTGATTCCTATAGTACTAAGCCGCTGAAGTATACCTGCATTATTTAGTGACGAGAGCTTTCTTGACGTCGAAAAATACCGCAAGTGTAGTTTGCCGCTGAACTCTAGTATCTCCTACGCTGCTGACTAGGTCAAGAAAATTGTCTGTCGCAGAGAGAGCCTAACAAAAAAACGTTCAGCCTTTCCACCCTCGTGAAGAACGAAGACCAGCGGAGCTGTACTCGGTACACTGCCGCAACGCGCACGCGCCCGTTTCCCGCTTCTTCTCGTCCGACACGCCGCCGATCGTGGATACGTCTCCGGCGACCCAGAGTCAGGTCGCACACAGCTCACGTGACGCCAAACGGGAAATCTACGAACTCCCTCCGAAACATCGCCGTCGCGCCCGGGGACTGTTCAGCCGGCGTGGAGTGCAGTCGTCGCCGGTCCTCCCGCTTGC